ATATCTCTGTCAAATGTCAAGGTATCGAGCTGAAAATTTTACCACAGCCTTCGCACTTCAGCCCCAACATATGCTCCAAATTTCAGCCCATTTGTATTGACCAGGGCTGAGATCGATTTTTGAGGGGAAGGGGGGCCTTAAGGAGATCAGATCCATAGGGCTTTTCACGGGCTATTTTTTCGTCTATCTGGTTTCAAGCTTTTCCTGATCTAGTTTAGATTATCATGAGGTGTCTCCGGATGCCACAAGTCTTTTTTGTGATATCCTACCTTTGTGTAAAATAAAAAATCTATCATCTATCTAATCTATCTCAAGAAACAGTGATTATTTTTGACAACAGTGAAAAGCTTTTCTTGATATGTTGTAGTAAAAATTAACTAGAATATTATTAGTGATGTATAGTTTTTTAATTGTTTCTCAATGAAGTTTGGTGAGAGAAAATTTTATTTGATACAAGTTTTGTAGTTCAGACTATGCTCTTTCAAACAAAAAGAAAGTGAAGTCTCCAGAATAGTAGGAGCAAAGAGAAACAGCGGTCTGCATTTGTTGCAAAACTTATGAATAACCCGTTATGCCACCGTTACATGCTTCTACACTTGCGAGGATATTTGTTAGCATTTTTCGCCCAAAAAACTAAACTCCTCTTTTCTTCTATTTGTTTCAAAATTCTCTTTTTTCCTCTTTTTTTACAAACTGTCGGTGGGATATCAGAACGAAAGAAATATGCAAAAAAAATCTCATCAAGCGTTATTGATAGAACTTTTCCAGGCTACATTTTACCACTTCTTTTTTCCGGAGATGAATAAATTTGCAATGTTTAACAGCAACCTTTTAGAGTTTCGGTCCTTGCCGTTTTTGATTTTTTTGAGACCAGACTTAGAGTGTCGATCTGATTAGCCACGTATCATTTTGTAGAGCATTGAATTGGGGATATTTCGGCATAACAATTAAATTAACGAAGCCAAAACAAGCGGAGAAAAACGAAAAGTACAAAGAGGCAGTTTCCAAGGAAACTTAGAGCACTCAAAAATACATTAAATTCCGGAAAAAAACTGTTCAGACAGTTTTGTTTTCGTGATTTGGTACATTTTAAAATGCTCTAAGTTTCCTTGGAAATGATTTTGGAATTTTTTTGACAAATGCATTTTGTAGAGCAAACATTTTTCTACAAAATGAAACGTTCCGCAGCTATGAGTGAATCTTGGTAACTGATGTATAGCAATTCTCCCGGATGCTCCAACACGAGTTTTTAACTGGTGCTACCTATGCATACACCATTTTCGTTTAATTTGTTAATGAGAGTAAACATTTTTTTCTCAGATTTGAATTAAAACAAAATGGTACGATTATCCAGATGTTCACGAATGTTGATTTCAAATTGTTTGAATATTGCTCGACGATATTACAGCACATGGCGTGAAAATGGATTGATCGAACCAGTATTACTTACAAAGGGGGTTAGAGGTTTATGTCTAGCAAAAGAACGATATGCAGCACATATTGGTGTACCAACATCACAGATATTTCATAATGTGTTTCAATTAAGATCATTTAAATTTGGAGATTTTAAGAAAACCCTCCATTTTCCGGCTGATCTCGAAGTCTACGAACATCATAATCAATGTGTTGTACTGTTGTCTACCGCGTATGTACATCAAAAAACTAAACAAGTGAAATTCATTCATACAACCGGTACAACAATTGGGCAGAATACAATTTTAAGTTGCGCCCACGGTGTAGCCCAATATTTATCCGAAGATCTAACGCCTTTAAATAATCGTAAGAGCAGTTGTGATAATCAATAATTTGTATAACCAAAGTTTGTTGGTTGTTTCTTTGTTTTCTTTTTAGAAGAATTGGACTTCATGTCATACACAAAAATGTATGATACAGAATTACGTTTAAATCTGTTCTCTGGTGTACTTGGTAATTTATCAGTAGAAAGTATTGATCATGCCAACGATATTGCTATCTTAAAAAGCAAAATCAAGTTTAAGTCATTTATGAATGTAATGACATCATTTGATGATAAATCAATAAATGATATAAATTCAATGCATTATATTGGTTATATTCATCGTAATACACCAGTCGGTGTCCAAGATTATTTAGGTAAAGTAAAAAACACTTTTTTCTGCACTTTTACTAATTCCCAACCATCAGCAAGAAAAAAATAGTTTTTGCGCCGCAATTTTTTCGAGATGAATTTCCACGAACAAGGGAAGTTCCCGAGATTTCCAACTCCGTTTTCAATGGTTTATATACTGGTCGATAAAGCATTGTGAGCCAGTAAAAATCCGAAAAGGATTTTTTCCCATAGTGTTTCTTTCAAAAGTTATCAAATTTTTTCAGTTTTTCTATCCTAAAAAACGAGTTTTTTTATTTTCTCGTTTTGGTGAGACAAGTCACCTAGAAAATTTGGCAGTGGGTGAGTTAGCATAAGTGATCAGCGGCTGAATTTTTTTGCTGTAACCATGGTTAATGTCTACTATCTTCACAAAAAGTTTCAGCATTCTGCTCCTGTTATTTGCTAGTTTATAAAATTTTTCAGTTCTAGGCAAAATGCAGGGCTTTTTTCAACTGAGATCGAATTTAGTGCTGAACAAAAAAAGATGATTCTATATCCAACAAAAGATGACATACAGCGATCAATTAAGTTTATATTATAGAATGATATTTTTATTCTTCTCGATGACACGAACTATTTTTAATGCGTCCGACACGAAATTCTTTCCGACGAATTTTACTCTTATATCGACGGGTTAGTTGGCCGTTATCCTAATAACGCAATAAAACGAAAACACAACAATGTCAAGACACAATTTAGGAACAGAATGTTGAAATTTTTTGTGAAAATAGTAGAGATTAACCATGGTTACAGCAAAAAACTTCAGCTTCTAATCACTTATGCTAACTCAGTTATAGAATTGCTACTATTTTCAGCCATTATAGAGTAGAAAAACTGAAAAGATTCGATACCTTTTAAAAGAAGCATCATGGAGAAAAATCCTTTTAGAGGTTTTTACTGGCTCACAATACACTATCGACCAGCATATAAAAGATTGAAAACGGAGTTGCGAATCTCAAGAGCTTCCGTCGTTTGGTGGGGTATGGCTTCCTTGGCTAGACTACTACAAGACAGAAATTTTCCGGATGCGGGTCATTGCACACTTATACATTGTTCACCTTTGATTCAATCCAACGCAGAACAAAGCAAAGCACTTTTTTCTTTCACACACTATACAGCGTATACTTTGTTTTTTCAGCAAAGTATAAAACAAAGTGTATTTTCAACATCAAAGTTACAT